AACTTTGTACTCGTTGCTCATGGTACGGGTGATATTAGTATCGCTTTAAAATTTGATGTATTCAGTGTCTCCTTCAACTGCACGTACTGAAGTGCTGAGATCATTTTCAATTTCATTAAAAACTACGTCATTAGTTCATTTCGTCGTGGTCTCCCACCTGCCGTACCAACACTTAGCATTTGTCCTTGGGAATACGACTGGTACACATTAATGAACACGCGGTGATCTGGTTGACATATCGCATTTTTTGTATCTCTACCGATACAATCTGGCTGAAGGGTCTGCAGCACCGCCCAAATTTCGACAGAATCATAGGCTTTCTCATAGTCCACATACGCAAGGCAAAGTGGCAGATTATACTCCTGTGTCTTCTGCACAATTTGCCGAAGGGTATGTATGTGGTCTATGGTACTAAAGCCTTTTCGGAAACCGGCTTATTCGGGAGGCTGGAAGTCGTCAAGACTGCGTGAGAGACGATTCGTAATGACTCACGAAAACAGCGCGTAGACGCGGCTCAGAAGGGAAATCGGTCTGTAGTTCTTCAAGAGAGTGTTGTAGCCTTCTTGAAGGATAAGACCACCGCACTTCTGCTCTACGCCTCCGGAGTAGTGCCACCATGAAGGAGGGAATTAAAGAGCTTCTGAAGGACTTCAAATACCGGTTTTCTACCCGCTTTCAAAAGCTCCGCTGTAATTCCATCCTCACCTGGGGCCCTGCCGTTTCTAAGGTCCTGGAGAGCCATTCTAATCTCACTCAGACTGACGTCCGGGATATCTTCGGAATAGTGTCGTATAAGACTCGCTCTAGGATCGTTACTCACACTTGCGTGTGGCTCCAACGATGACGTGTACAGCTGTCTGCTGTGTAGAAACTCTCAATCTCACTAAAAATCTCAGGTGTCCCGGAAATGATGCTGCCAAACTCGGTCTTCACCTTTGACAGTTGGCTCTTTCTGGTAGACTGATCTCTGGCAGACTTTGGAGCCTTGGTTTCGCTTGATCGCTTCTTCTATACAAGCTGTATTGAAGTTGCGTAAGTCCCGCCGCATGCAATTGGAGATCTGTCTGTTCAGTTGCCTGTATTCTGTCAAATCTGTTGAAGACTGTAGCATCACATCCCGTCTAACAGCCATGAGATTAAGAGTGTGATCGGAGAGTTTTTGTGCTTTTCTGCGGCGGGTCTTACAGAACTTAGCTGCGACCGCATGGACAGTTTCCACGAGCTTGTCATTCATTTGGTCCACTTCATTGCAGTCTTCTAGGCACTGAAAACGGTTTTGTAACTCGAGTTGAAAGGTTTCGGGACTTTGGGATAGAGCACGAGGGGGACGGAGCGTTGACTGCATTAGACAAGACCTCTCCAACTTAACGTTTAGGTTCAGTGTGCCTCTAACCATTCGGTGATCGATACCAGTTTTCACCCTCGCGATCATGGAGACATCACTGAACAGTTGTCGTCTGGTCGTCATAATGAAGTCAATCTCATTTTAGTAGAACCGTCGGGGCTCGACCAGGTCCACTTCCTGTGGGGCCGCTTCTGGAAGAAAGAGTTCATCATAAACAGTCCCTCTTTCTCCATGTAGTCGGCCAGCTGCTGGCCCCTTGGGTTCCGTTGCCCTATTCTAAATTGTCCTACTTTCAGCTCACCATTCTCTCTCTGTGCCTAGTTTTGAATTGCACACATGTATACTTAGTAATGTTTTACCTAACTACCACATATATGTATACTTAGTAATGTTGTACCTCTCTAGTTAATACTAAGAATTTCAGTCAGTAGCTAGTTGCCCACCAAATGTATTGCGCGTTCCTCTATTAATAAATACGTCGTAAATATAACTTTATCTTTCATTATGGCCAACCGTAGAGACCCTTATGGAGTCAGCTCCTAAACTGTACGACGCACTTAAAGCTCGGCTGCTCCACACCTATGAGGTGTCAATGTCGAGGCAGATCGAGAAGTTTATGAGCGAGCTAGAGCTGGGCGAGCAGAAACCATCCCAACTACTCCGTCGGATGCGCGAGCTCGCTACTGACAAGATTCCTGATGAAACCCTTCGCGTGCTGTGGCAAAATCGTCTTCCGACACAGGTGCAAGCCGTGCTCAACGTGTCTAACTCCAAGGACTTGGACAATCTAGCAGCAGTCGCAGATAACATCATGGAGGCTGTGCTGCCTTCCTATGCCACCACCGCTACCTACGCCGCACCAGCGCCGGCATCTACTGCTGCCCTTGACTTGGCCCTGTTAAGGGCAAAGGTGGTTAAAATAAAGGTTACCGTGGACTAGATCGATCGGCGGAGGTCGCGGCCTCGCGGTCCTGATAGCAACCGTCATCGTTCGCAGTCCCGGCACCGTAGTGGTTCCCACAGGTCCTGGAAGGAGAACTACTTGTGCTTCTACCACTACCGGTTCAGGGAAAAGGCCAACAAGTGTACGGAGCCGTGCGCATGGACACCAAAGCTGCCGGAAAACTGAGCGGCGAGGTACAGTCCGAGGATCTTGAGGTCTGTACCATTTCTCCATTAAATCGTTTGTGTGTCAGATAGTAACTTTGGGCTTAGATTTTTAGTCCACACGGGTGCCAATGTGTCTGTTTTACCAGTCGTTAGAAAAGTTCGTGCAAACCAGTTGCAGTGTATATAAGTTATACGCGGCTAACAAGTACCAAGGTACCAAGACACTAGTGTTAAGCTTAAGCTTACGACGACCTTATCGTTGGGATTTCGTGGTAGCAGATGTCAAACTACCAATTTTGGGCGCAGATTTTCAGCGTATCACAGGTTATTAGTAGATTTAAACGCGCGTAAATTAATAGATAAAGCCACAGAATTGAATGTTTCGGCATGTGTTGTCAAGGTATCTCAAACTAGTGTTAAAACTATTGATTTGAATCATCCGCCGTATCAGGATTTATTGTTAACAAATTGTTTTAATTGAAACTGCGAAATACGATATCGTCCACCATATCGAGACCTCTGATCTGCCCGTGCACGCGGAAGCGCGCCCGTTGCCACCCGACAGGTATAAAAAAGTTATAGAAGAATTTTGCATCATGCAGGAATTGGGCATCAGTAATCGCTTACGTAGCTCGAATCGAGCAGTCGTGCCTATTAGCAATTATACAAGTGTTTAAATATTTTAAATAAAATTATGACCTAGATAAGCCATTGAATAATTTCTGCTTAGTTGTGATTTTATAGTAGTAAATAACAAATTATAATGAAAAACATTTGATAGAAATCATGTCTAATATATACGAAAATAGCCCTTTCAACCGGAGCACCATTACACCTCGGAATCCGCCCAGCACGCCTCAACCACCTCAGCATGATGCTGCAGACCCCATTGTTTTAGCCACCAGTGAAATTAAAAACTGGATGACCTCAATCGAACAGTGCCTTAATGAAGTTTGCCATATTACCCAGGAGGGAAAACTAAATTCTGTTGCTGAGAATCAGTTCCCTATCGCGAAAGGTCGGTAATACAGCCTCTCAGATGGCAGTATTCTACCAATCGTTGAAGCAAAAGGCTATTTTAATGCACACGTATCTTGAAACACTGAAAGAAAAACAAGACCTAACAAGGTGCCTTAATGATTTCAGAAAATCTCTTACAGAAACTATTGTAGAAAGCTGCGCCGATACAGATACTTACCAAAGCACCCATGCTCAGAAAGCATCTGTATCAGCCGGAAGGTAAGTGACACGTGTCGCCTGTTCAACCAGTCTGGCAGGACCGAACGAACAGCCTCGACAGTACTTCTTGCCTTCGGTTAAGCTAGACCCTCATTTCATTTTTCAAGCATAAACTGCCGAGCGTGAAGCTTCCACAATTGCAACTCTCTGTGAAAAGTACGATACCCTCGATATCGAAGTTCCGAGCGCCAATCGTACAGAGACGCAAGGAACTCTGCCTCCATATCCCAGGACGAAAACCCCGCCAAAACGCATACAGGCTCAGGGGAGATCGTCCTCATATGACTCCGACGGCCGGCGTCCTCTGGGGCTTTCTCAGGAAGGTTATGTTTCTTTCCGTCAGAGCCCTTACTCATATGGGGCTCCATATAAAACCATGGACCGAACCACATCCAAGAAGAGGTGGCGATAGTTAGCATCAGGCCCTCCGATATTGGGTAGCAGCCGCTTTAAGGCAGCTGCCACTCCCATTAGCCGGGGCGCCAAGCGCTTGAAGTGCTCGCGGAAGCTCCAGCGGCTATCAAGAATAAGTCCAAGATACCTCATGTTGAACCCAACCTGAATTCGGATATCACTGACAACGATGTGGGATCCCTGTGGCGGAACTTTTCGAGACGTGTGAAAGCAAATTAACGCCACTTCCAGTCCCAACATCCTGTTTCTGCAGACAACCTGTGCCACAGACGCATTGGCAAGAAGGACGGCTGCTTCATAAGTCTCACCCAGCGCAGTGATTAGCGTATCGTCTGCATAGCAGATTATACCAGCACCCGGTAGAAGATCCCCCGCAACACCCAGTCGTAACCGTCGCTCCACAGAAGCGATCCTAAAATCGAACCCTATGGAACACCACACGACATTTCCCTCCTTTTTATCCTGCCTTCTCGCCCAGGATAAGAAAATCTAACCTAAACTAACCTATCCTAAGTATATTTTGTAAGTGTAGTAAATTTTACTGTGTATATCGTATTAATGTTAATATATATAATATTACTCTATTTTTAATTTTATCAATATATATATATTATCAGTAGTTTTTTTCTGATTTACTATAATGTTCATTTTATTTTTAGCACCTTATACATTATCTTCCACACATCCCGCGTTGACTGGGAGAGAATGCCAAAAGGCATTAAGTCCGGCCTTTGTAATCTTTTTCTAGGTGAACAATAAAGTGTAAATAAATAATTCTATAGTTGCAAATTGCTGTAATATTAAAAATACTGTGAGACATTCTATCTTAGTCCTCTGCGGAACTGTTAGGACATTTATTATTCCATGTTAATAAAAAGAGTATTATACCAACCATAATGCGATCGCTGTCTAGCAGCTGCGCCAATGTTTCCGGAGCGAGAGCGAGGAACTCCTCTGTTTCTAATACCTGTAATCAGTAGTCGGTATTTAAAGCAAAGGTTTTATTCTCATCGGAAGTGAGTATTAACTGAAAACAATCCCAGCGGGAGATTTTTTTAAAGTAAATTTTACAATATGAAAGGTTGTACAAACTATTAACCAAATTTATTTTAGGAACAGCTTAGAAGTGACCACTTCATTCCCAGGGGTTATTATCAACCATGTATTCATTTATATTATAATAACCCTTTTTATACAGTTTTCGTTTAATAAAATATTTAAGCTTGCTAATAGAGACTTTGTATATTTTCTGGGACTTTGTCGTAATAGCGTATACCTACATTGCCACAAGAATAAAAGAAGGATTGCGACTCCGTGGAGTCGAGAAACTGGTATTACTATCTTGTTTGTTCCTAGAGTTTACAGAGTGTATATCACTTTTTCTACTAAAACTACTTTTGTTTTTGTGAACATACATAAATTTTTATTCAAAAACAAAAGTAGCTTCTAAATCAGCCGCATTTCAATAGCAAAATCCCATAAGACATTATGCTATGGAAATAACTGATATAAACTAATCAAACTGTCATGACACTATTGACACTTCTTATCTTTTTTACAGCATAAGTTGCAGAGCTTAGTCTACTCGCTAGTTTGGATATAGGGAGATACGACTGAAGCTTTGCGTCGAGAGTGATGCCAAGAAAAACAGTGGACTCAACAGGGCTAAGTTCTTCCCCATTTAAAAATATATTGGTATTCAGATTTTTAACACTCGGTGTTGTAAATTTAGTACATTTAGTTTTATCAACGTTTGAATGTAGATTATTAACATTAAACCAATATAAAAATTTTGATATAGCATTATTAACTTCGTCATCAGCAAATAATACTATGTCATGATTATCCACTACAAGGGAAGGTGAGTCATTAATATAGACAAGAAATAGGAATGGGCCAGAAATTGAGCCTTGAGGGACACCTATTAGTACAGGTGACCCAGAAGAACTTTTACCATTGATAATAACTTTTTGCGTTCTATTACTTAAATATGTAATAGTAAGTTTAAGCGCTGTGTTCTTGACATCATAGTACTGTAGCTTCCTGATTAATGTCTCATGGTTAACACAGTCGAAGGCCTTGGAAAGTTCACAAAATATACCCAAAATATCCTTTGAATTCTCTCACGCAAAAAAATATGTTTGATTAGCTCAACTCCGGCGTCAGTTGTCGAGCAACGTCTTGTTAAACCAAATTGATTTTTATGAAGTTTAAGAATTATTTAAAATAAAAATACTTAACATCTGATCTAAAATTATTTTTTCACAAATTTTACTAAATGTAAAATTAAAGAGATTGGTCCAAAATTGGCGGGGCTGTGACAATGACGTGCACCGAAAGAGAGATACCCTTCTTACTTATTTCTGTGTTTCGGTTGGAAAGGTAAGAGTGAGAATAATTACGGAGCGTAAGGCATTCTATTTTAATCCACAGGGGTCATGACACGTTGTAGATGTATTATGGCTGCAGCGGCTTGATTGGCTGCTGTTTCGTTTGGTTTGGTGGTAATGATATACATCATCCATTTTAGTTTTCAGGGGTGATGACGAATCTGCATTCGTTATGTTCTTCATTGACAATAAATGAAGGTGCCTATGAAGTACGGAAAACAGTATCGGACCATCGCCCATCAAGCGGACTGCGGTCACGTCAGAAGCCTGTAGATTGCAGAGAATGCTGCACGCTACACGCACTTCTGCGGTGCACGTAGCGCGCGGCGCAGAGCGCGAGGTCGCTGCAGGCGTGCAGGTCGGCGAAGGCGCGGATGCCGAGCGCGTTGTCCGGCGCCAGCGCGGCGGCCATGAAGCGCGCGCACGCTACACTACACGCTACACTGCACGCTGCACGCTACACGCACCTCTACGAAGTGGCGGTGCACGTAGCGCGCGGCGCAGAGCGCGAGGTCGCTGCAGGCGTGCAGGTCGGCGAAGGCGCGGATTCCGAGAGCGTTGTCCGGCGCCAGCGCGGCGGCCAGGAAGCGCGCGCACGCTACACTACTCGCTACACTGCACGCTGCACGCTACACGCACCTCTACGAAGTGGCGGTGCACGTAGCGCGCGGCGCAGAGCGCGAGGTCGCTGAAGGCGTGCAGGTCGGCGAAGGCGCGGATGCCGAGCGCGTTGTCCGGCGCCAGCGCGGCGGCCAGGAAGCGCGCGCACGCTACACTACACGCTACACTGCACGCTGCACGCTACACGCACCTCTACGAAGTGGCGGTGCACGTAGCGCGCGGCGCAGAGCGCGAGGTCGCTGCAGGCGTGCAGGTCGGCGAAGGCGCGGATTCCGAGAGCGTTGTCCGGCGCCAGCGCGGCGGCCAGGAAGCGCGCGCACGCTACACTACACGCTACACTGCACGCTGCACGCTACACGCACCTCTACGAAGTGGCGGTGCACGTAGCGCGCGGCGCAGAGCGCGAGGTCACTGCAGGCGTGCAGGTCGGCGAAGGCGCGGATTCCGAGAGCGTTGTCCGGCGCCAGCGCGGCGGCCAGGAAGCGCGCGCACGCTACACTACACGCTACACTGCACGCTGCACGCTACACGCACCTCTACGAAGTGGCGGTGCACGTAGCGCGCGGCGCAGAGCGCGAGGTCGCTGCAGGCGTGCAGGTCGGCGAAGGCGCGGATGCCGAGCGCGTTGTCCGGCGCCAGCGCGGCGGCCAGGAAGCGCGCGCACGCTACACTACACGCTACACTGCACGCTGCACGCTACACGCACCTCTACGAAGTGGCGGTGCACGTAGCGCGCGGCGCAGAGCGCGAGGTCGCTGCAGGCGTGCAGGTCGGCGAAGGCGCGGATTCCGAGAGCGTTGTCCGGCGCCAGCGCGGCGGCCAGGAAGCGCGCGCACGCTACACTACACGCTACACTGCACGCTGCACGCTACACGCACCTCTACGAAGTGGCGGTGCACGTAGCGCGCGGCGCAGAGCGCGAGGTCGCTGCAGGCGTGCAGGTCGGCAAAAGCGCGGATGCCGAGCGCGTTGTCCGGCGCCAGCGCGGCGGCCAGGAAGCGCGCGCACGCTACACTACACGCTACACTGCACGCTGCACGCTACACACACCTCTACGAAGTGGCGGTGCACGTAGCGCGCGGCGCAGAGCGCGAGGTCGCTGCAGGCGTGCAGGTCGGCGAAGGCGCGGATGCCGAGCGCGTTGTCCGGCGCCAGCGCGGCGGCCAGGAAGCGCGCGCACGCTACACTGCACGCTGCACGCTACACGCACCTCTACGAAGTGGCGGTGCACGTAGCGCGCGGCGCAGAGCGCGAGGTCGCTGCAGGCGTGCAGGTCGGCGAAGGCGCGGATGCCGAGCGCGTTGTCCGGCGCCAGCGCGGCGGCCAGGAAGCGCGCGCACGCTACACTACACGCTACACTGCACGCTGCACGCTACACGCACCTCTACGAAGTGGCGGTGCACGTAGCGCGCGGCGCAGAGCGCGAGGTCGCTGCAGGCGTGCAGGTCGGCGAAGGCGCGGATGCCGAGCGCGTTGTCCGGCGCCAGCGCGGCGGCCAGGAAGCGCGCGCACGCTACACTACACGCTACACTGCACGCTGCACGCTACACGCACCTCTACGAAGTGGCGGTGCACGTAGCGCGCGGCGCAGAGCGCGAGGTCGCTGCAGGCGTGCAGGTCGGCGAAGGCGCGGATGCCGAGCGCGTTGTCCGGCGCCAGCGCGGCGGCCAGGAAGCGCGCGCACGCTACACTACACGCTACACTGCATGCTGCACGCTACACGCACCTCTACGAAGTGGCGGTGCACGTAGCGCGCGGCGCAGAGCGCGAGGTCGCTGCAGGCGTGCAGGTCGGCGAAGGCGCGGATGCCGAGCGCGTTGTCCGGCGCCAGCGCGGCGGCCAGGAAGCGCGCGCACGCTACACTACACGCTACACTGCACGCTGCACGCTACACGCACCTCTACGAAGTGGCGGTGCACGTAGCGCGCGGCGCAGAGCGCGAGGTCGCTGCAGGCGTGCAGGTCGGCGAAGGCGCGGATGCCGAGCGCGTTGTCCGGCGCCAGCGCGGCGGCCAGGAAGCGCGCGCACGCTACACTACACGCTACACTGCACGCTGCACGCTACACACACCTCTACGAAGTGGCGGTGCACGTAGCGCGCGGCGCAGAGCGCGAGGTCGCTGCAGGCGTGCAGGTCGGCGAAGGCGCGGATGCCGAGCGCGTTGTCCGGCGCCAGCGCGGCGGCCAGGAAGCGCGCGCACGCTACACTGCACGCTGCACGCTACACGCACCTCTACGAAGTGGCGGTGCACGTAGCGCGCGGCGCAGAGCGCGAGGTCGCTGCAGGCGTGCAGGTCGGCGAAGGCGCGGATGCCGAGCGCGTTGTCCGGCGCCAGCGCGGCGGCCAGGAAGCGCGCGCACGCTACACCACACGCTACACTGCACGCTGCACGCTACACGCACCTCTACGAAGTGGCGGTGCACGTAGCGCGCGGCGCAGAGCGCGAGGTCGCTGCAGGCGTGCAGGTCGGCGAAGGCGCGGATGCCGAGCGCGTTGTCCGGCGCCAGCGCGGCGGCCAGGAAGCGCGCGCACGCTACACTACACGCTACACTGCACGCTGCACGCTACACGCACCTCTACGAAGTGGCGGTGCACGTAGCGCGCGGCGCAGAGCGCGAGGTCGCTGCAGGCGTGCAGGTCGGCGAAGGCGCGGATGCCGAGCGCGTTGTCCGGCGCCAGCGCGGCGGCCAGGAAGCGCGCGCACGCTACACTACACGCTACACTGCACGCTGCACGCTACACGCACCTCTACGAAGTGGCGGTGCACGTAGCGCGCGGCGCAGAGCGCGAGGTCGCTGCAGGCGTGCAGGTCGGCGAAGGCGCGGATGCCGAGCGCGTTGTCCGGCGCCAGCGCGGCGGCCAGGAAGCGCGCGCACGCTACACTACACGCTACACTGCACGCTGCACGCTACACGCACCTCTACGAAGTGGCGGTGCACGTAGCGCGCGGCGCAGAGCGCGAGGTCTCTGCAGGCGTGCAGGTCGGCGAAGGCGCGGATGCCGAGCGCGTTGTCCGGCGCCAGCGCGGCGGCCAGGAAGCGCGCGCACGCTACACTACACGCTACACTGCACGCTGCACGCTACACGCACCTCTACGAAGTGGCGGTGCACGTAGCGCGCGGCGCAGAGCGCGAGGTCGCTGCAGGCGTGCAGGTCGGCGAAGGCGCGGATGCCGAGCGCGTTGTCCGGCGCCAGCGCGGCGGCCAGGAAGCGCACGCACGCTACACTACACGCTACACTGCACGCTGCTCGCTACACGCACCTCTACGAAGTGGCGGTGCACGTAGCGCGCGGCGCAGAGCGCGAGGTCGCTGCAGGCGTGCAGGTCGGCGAAGGCGCGGATGCCGAGCGCGTTGTCCGGCGCCAGCGCGGCGGCCAGGAAGCGCGCGCACGCTACACTGCACGCTGCACGCTACACGCACCTCTACGAAGTGGCGGTGCACGTAGCGCGCGGCGCAGAGCGCGAGGTCGCTGCAGGCGTGCAGGTCGGCGAAGGCGCGGATTCCGAGAGCGTTGTCCGGCGCCAGCGCGGCGGCCAGGAAGCGCGCGCACGCTACACTACACGCTACACTGCACGCTGCACGCTACACGCACCTCTACGAAGTGGCGGTGCACGTAGCGCGCGGCGCAGAGCGCGAGGTCGCTGCAGGCGTGCAGGTCGGCGAAGGCGCGGATTCCGAGAGCGTTGTCCGGCGCCAGCGCGGCGGCCAGGAAGCGCGCGCACGCTACACTACACGCTACACTGCACGCTGCACGCTACACGCACCTCTACGAAGTGGCGGTGCACGTAGCGTGCGGCGCAGAGCGCGAGGTCGCTGCAGGCGTGCAGGTCGGCGAAGGCGCGGATTCCGAGAGCGTTGTCCGGCGCCAGCGCGGCGGCCAGGAAGCGCGCGCACGCTACACTACACGCTACACTGCACGCTGCACGCTACACGCACCTCTACGAAGTGGCGGTGCACGTAGCGCGCGGCGCCGAGCGCGAGGTCGCTGCAGGCGTGCAGGTCGGCGAAGGCGCGGATTCCGAGAGCGTTGTCCGGCGCCAGCGCGGCGGCCAGGAAGCGCGCGCACGCTACACTACACGCTACACTGCACGCTGCACGCTACACGCACCTCTACGAAGTGGCGGTGCACGTAGCGCGCGGCGCAGAGCGCGAGGTCGCTGCAGGCGTGCAGGTCGGCGAAGGCGCGGATTCCGAGAGCGTTGTCCGGCGCCAGCGCGGCGGCCAGGAAGCGCGCGCACGCTACACTACACGCTACACTGCACGCTGCACGCTACACGCACCTCTACGAAGTGGCGGTGCACGTAGCGCGCGGCGCAGAGCGCGAGGTCGCTGCAGGCGTGCAGGTCGGCGAAGGCGCGGATTCCGAGAGCGTTGTCCGGCGCGAGCGCGGCGGCCAGGAAGCGCGCGCACGCTACACTACACGCTACACTGCACGCTGCACGCTACACGCACCTCTACGAAGTGGCGGTGCACGTAGCGCGCGGCGCAGAGCGCGAGGTCGCTGCAGGCGTGCAGGTCGGCGAAGGCGCGGATGCCGAGCGCGTTGTCCGGCGCCAGCGCGGCGGCCAGGAAGCGCGCGCACGCTACACTACACGCTACACTGCACGCTGCACGCTACACGCACCTCTACGAAGTGGCGGTGCACGTAGCGCGCGGCGCAGAGCGCGAGGTCGCTGCAGGCGTGCAGGTCGGCGAAGGCGCGGATTCCGAGAGCGTTGTCCGGCGCCAGCGCGGCGGCCAGGAAGCGCGCGCACGCTACACTACACGCTACACTGCACGCTGCACGCTA